TTTAAAGACCCAGAGACGATAAGAATGTCCAGAGTTAAATACAAGTGTTAGTGTTTAGGCACTGGTACTTTTACCTTATTTTCGCAGACACAGAGAAACAGTTACACGAACAGTTCTCTTTTTTCTGTATGTGACTGATCGATACGTTCGCTGCTCAAATCTCGCTTACGTTTTCTGTGCGCCACAATCTTTCTTTGGTTTACTACCTTCTGCCACGAATGCTTCGATAAACTTTGGGATCGTCCCGAATAAAATTCAAGCAGGTGCTCTCTATCACTTCCCGCAGCTGTTCAATCACCGACGTTAAACGCATCCGCGATTAAGCTGTCAATTAAAAATCGCTATCGAGAGAGATGCTCAAACTGACTGACGTAAACTCGCGCATGTGTTACGGCGAGAGAGAGAGAGAGAGAGAGAGAGAGAGAGAGAGAGTGCGACGAAAAAGGAGACGAAGGTGTTACGGCTTCTCTCGTCGCTCCTGCGATGACGTCAGTGTTAGCCGTAAACTCACGAGAGACTCGTTGCTCTCCGCTCGTATCGACGACGTCCCGTTCCCAAGCCCCGGCTCGCTCGTCCTTCGGACGAGTCGTCCTTGGTCGAGCCCTTTAAGGTTTGTTCGCGGTGCGTGGCCGACCTGGATTCGCCAGACCCTGACCACGATATAAGGCAAGCAGTCGCGGGTTCTTTGTGCCGTCAGGTTCCGTCTGGCGAATCCGTTTATGGAAGACTGCTCTCGTTCCCCTCCGAATAATTTCGGAGAGACAGAGAGAGAGAGAGAGAGAGAGAGAGACGCGCTTCGACGAAAATAAACGACCAGCGCGCTTTTGCCGAACGAAATCGACGACCGAACGCGCGGAATGGAGTGAGACGAATCGAGCTAAAAATTAGGTTGCGCACATGGCGACACGAAGTTTCGAGAGAACACAGCGCAGAATAGGAGAAGATGGATGGATGGTGGGATTTATCTGAGCTACGCGTTAATACGCCTCAGCGACCTCCTTCGAGAGAAGAAGAGGAGGAGGTGTAAGGCGACCTGCGACGAACGCAAATGGGAACGAATCGACCACGAAAATGAGAACGCACCGCACTTCGGCTTGAGACGACCTGACAGATCCTATGCGAGATGTTTGGACAGTCGCGCGCCTTCACCGAGCAATAAATCAATCGAAGCAACTCGAATCAAGTCAAGGGATGCTAGAGTCGAAATCCGACTGATCTCTTTCTGCAGAGTTTACGTTGCATCGATTGCACAGAATTACAAATGCTTTTGTACAGTCAACATACGCGGAAACGTATTGGAGCATTGCTCGATACACACAGAAAAAAAGGTTTGGTTGAATTAACCAAATATCTGGTCGAATATGAACGATCCAGATATTCCGATTGAAGTAACCCGAATTCTGTTTAAGTCAGCCAGAAATCTTGTTAACTTAAACAGAATTCGGAATATCTGGATCGTTCATATTCGACCAGATATTTGATTAATTCAACCAAACCTTTTTTTCCGTGCATGACAAAAACGAGAAAAATTTCAAAGCTGATACCTTGAGTATAAATTAGCATGTCAGGTTAATATTCACGTGAAAGATCAAGTAGCTAATTTGTATACCGAACGCGAGCTTGTTCTGCTCAGAAAATTCTCAAAGAACATTGCTTTACATCTGAATTTAGAAGCTTAAAAATATTAGAAGAACTTGCAGGAAGATTTCTATATATACACGCTTGGTTTTTCCGCTAAATATATAGTGAAACAAAGCAACACATATCTGCGTGAGATCTACAAATGTATGTATAAAAAATAAAGAAAAAAGATTGTGTTAGTGATCGTCTCTACGTTATCGATTCCAACATCCTCTTGAGAGAAACTTAATCCTCCATAGAGGCTCTGATTTCTGAAACACTCTGTATGAGACACGTCCTCGTGGTGTCAGTCATGATTTTTAAGGGGCCGTGAAATTGTATGAGTATAAAGAAGAGTACACTCGGCCGACTAGCCAACCGTTTATCGAATAAATCAGAATAATGCCGCGCTTGTTTCGCCGACGATCTCCTTGTCGTAATGATCTTCCTTTCGTCGCGATGAATGAGAGTACGATGGTACAACGACCCCGCTATCCGAGCGTGCATAACGGTAGAAAGATTTTTGCAATGAGCATCCCCGACAGGGAGAACTCCCTGCCTCTCTTTCTCTCACAGTCCCGCTTGTCTTCCCATTCTATTAAGCTTTTTATTGAAATAAATAGACGTAAAATAATGGATCGCGATTATTATCTTGATGTCGTAAAATCGCTCGACGGGACATCAACGTAATGATCGCCGTCAGATATAATTACACCGCCGCTTCCTTGCCATTTGAGCCGAAGCGATCGCTTTACTCGGTACATTCGCGTAAGACCGCCAGGAGAAATCAATTATTTCCTAACTGCTAATTGGCATGACTAAAATGAAGAGGCTCTGACGATATACCTTGAGTCTTCTCTTGATCGTTAATTTGGAGCCCACGTGTCTAAACGCGCTAATTCATGAATTGCGAAACCTTACGAAGTGACGTGTCTAATTTTTCGAATGAATCCCGTTGGTTATCGTCGAATTTGCGATTACGCGAAATGATGTCCCTCGTATAATTCATCGACATAATCACGTCGCCGGCGTTCACAATGGCGCCGAACATTATTCCGGTCCGCCGGTATGACGACTGGCGTGAACTTATTTTCGGCGCCGGTTATTTCCGTCCAGGTCGGCGCGAACGTTAGAGGGGGAGCTTGAAGACGCGCGTAGAAGCTCCCCGAAGAATTCTAACTTCTCGCGCGAAACTCGAGTTTTCATAATGGAGATCCGATCGACACGTGGGTCTCCATAAATTCTCCAAAATTATTCGCGCCATGCGTCTCGGAACGAGACAAAATTCGGGCGGCTCGAAGATAAAGCGCCGATCGACGCCGCGAAATTTGTAACGAGGCTCCGGCTGAAATTCGGTCAGTGTACTCGACGAGGCCGGCTTCCGACAGGAAGTGACGTAACGCGACGGCAATTACAACGTTCTACATAGCTCATGAAGATGCGCAAGTACCGCCGCCCAGGCACCGTGCATTTCTCGTCGCAATCCTCTACGTTCCGCCGGCTATATCTCAAAGATAAATTTCTCCAAAAGAAGACACGATTCGCGTATTCATATGTTTTTATGGCCAACTCGCATGTCCGTTTAAATCTCGAGTTCACCGTTTAACGCTAATATGTGTCGTAGTATACGGAAGGTTGGCAATGAACCACTATTTTTTCGGGAAACATGCAAGTTTCACAGTAACTTGCACTACGATTTCAGTATAGTTTAGCTTTACAAAGAAACATTGTAAAAAGAAGTATAACTTTAAAGTAATATTTACTGCTACGTTTTTCTGTGAAGAGAAAGTTTAAGGGCCAGTAAAAGCCTGTGCACACACTGAAGGAAAAGTTACCTTAAAATCAACAAACGTTACCATTAACATATTTATTTATATAAATCTAAATTCTCTTTATTTAAAACAAATATTGTTTACTTAAATCAGGTAAAAAATATTTGATTTAAATAAAAAGAATTTAGATTTAAGTAAATATGTTAATGGCACCTACTAAAGAAATATTTTGATATTATGTTCATTTTAAGGTAATTTTTCCCTCAGTTCGGGTATAGTAGTGTGGTGAAACAAGTGAAAAACTTGAGACTGTGATCTACGCAGTCAATAAGTGTAAAAATGTCAATCCAGACGTCTTGGTCATCAACTTCTTCGATGAGACGTTTAGATATTTTGACCAATAAATTTTTATACTTATTGTCTCTCTATAGAGAGAATTATTTATTGAATCAAATAAATGTTTCTTTGGAATAGTCCAAACAAATTATTTGGTTGACGCAACAAAAATATTTCTTTGGAACTAAGCCGCAAATAAATACTTTTGCGACAAATATTTTTGCGTCAAACAAAATTTTGTTCGATTAACCAAAAAATCTGTTTGGACTATTCCATAGAAGTGTTTATTTGACTCAACCAAATCGTTCTCTCTGTGTGCAAATCACAGTTTCGACAGCTTTTCACTTATCTGGCTATATTACTATACTTGTTCGTAGTAGCTTAACGATCCTTAAATCTTCTCTTGATTGTCAATTGAGAACCCACGTGTCTAAAAGAATCTGATATTTAAGAAGAAAATTGATAATTGGAAAGTGGTAATCGAGAGGAAAAAAAAAGTTAATTCGGGAAAAGCTTTACAGTTCGAGCAATCAGTTAATTCGCTACCGTTACGACGCGGCATGTTATGTATGATGACCGGCAACTTTGTGCTGCGCCAAACCTTGCCAATTGCGCAAAAAGCTGAGCCAGATTTGCATCTCGCCAAGTTGTGCAAGCGACCGTCCCGACGTATCGTGCGCGATGATGAGTCAAGCGTAATAATTTCAGGTTGCCGAGTATGCGCATTTTCTGCGCTCGCGAGATGTATCGTGAAGTGTCGAGCTTTATGATAAATCGAAAGACTCGGTAGCGCTCTGAATAACTCATTGTGATTCTGTATACGGAAAACAATGTTTGATCGGACTAATCAATTTCTGATGAAATATGAACGAGCCAGAAAATTTCTGGTTGATGTTATCAAAATTCTGCTCAACTCGAATCTTAGGTCTGTTTTTTCAGTTTACAGGCACCGGAATATACGAGCTACTCTACACTGAGAAAAACAGTAGTCGGAAAATTGGCTGGAGAAAATTGGCCCAAAATTGAGAGGCGGTCAGCCGCCTTCAAAGAAATATGAACGGATTACGCGTTAAGCTACAGCAATAAGTTGCGTTGATACAATCATTGAATCAAGTGACAATTCTCTCATCGAGCAACTATATAATTCGTTCAATCGACTGAACATTTGCTTGAATTTTGTTCGTTCTCATTGGCTGAAATACTTTTTTTCTCAATGTAGAGTCAAGATTAAGGCGAAGAACACGGCTGATCGAAATCAAATATTTCGCTCACCAGTAATTTGTTGTCCACGGTCTTCACGACGATCTCCTCGGGCGTGTACTGCGAAACGTCGAAGCGCAGTTTCAACATCTTGCTGTCACCCTCGTCTTGAATGAGAGGACTGTTGAGGCCGTCCAGCCAAGTGTGAGCGTCATGCTGAGGACTCAGGGAACTGCTGTTCTGAGTGCTCTGTTGCGTGGTGGTGCTGCAAATTGAAAATGGAATTTCAGTTATCGCGGACTCGGTGGTTGCTCATTTGCGCACGATAAGATCGAAATGAACAACGAGAGACGCCGATAACACATTGATAACGGTGTTGTGATGAGCAGCGATGTTGAGCAGCTGTGACAATAAACGTGAAACCTGTCGGCTGCGGTATACTACGCTACGTTACGCTACGCTACGCTAAGTGCGACACTAAAGCCTTACCTACGATGACCACAATGCGACAGACAGGAAATAAATACATTCACAGACCGACATTGATTTAAAATCGTGCACTGACGACGTTAACACCGAGAAGGCCGGCGATGTGCGTCTATGTGTTTAATGGCCGGTTTCACTGACGTCGAGCAAGTCTTAAGTCGAGTTTAAATTGCCTTCAGACAAAGACATCAACTCAGATTAAGGTTTAGTCGACGTCTAAGGACGTTGATGGAACCAGACCCATATTCTACGCGGCAGCCAAAAACACGAGTTTGTAAGAGCGCAACAATAGGCAAAAGCAACAAAAGCAGCAAAATTCTATCGTAAAGAAATACAGTTACATATATCTGAAAAAAAATTTAGCCAGCGATTAAAACATTCGCCTCAGCCTTTTTGGCGTTAACTCGAGCAGATTAAAGGTTACTCGACCTCGACCCTTGCACACAACACTGATCTGCTTTCTAAGTTTCTTAAAGCGAGACTTCACTTGACAGCGAAAATCTCACCACTCAGAATCACAAGAGCGAATATTCAATTTAAACTTAGAGTACGTGCACGTATGCGTGCGTGTGGATTTTTAATCCGTAAATTTTTCATTCAACTGTAATGAATTTGTTTCTACGCGGGCGGTTTACATCATGTCAACCCTTCAGCTTCAAATGAAAATATTCGCTCAATGATTCAGAGTGGAGGATTTATTTCACATAAGTAGAATGTGACTCAAATTTGAGCAACGTGGCTCTATTTGTCGAGTGGAGACTCACTCGAAGAAATTCAGAGAGTACGTGTAGAGCCGTGAAGAACATGAAATATGGATTTGTGTCGAGAGGACAACGGTGATCGTCGTTTCCGACGAGTGCGGGGCCACAACCGACGTGCAAACGCATGTACGTTCGTTCGTTGCACTCCCTTTCACGCAGCTACACGATTAGCCCTTATCCGGTTAACCCTTCGTAGAAGGAGGAGAGCTGAACGTTATGCATACGCTTAAACGCTATTTATCGCTTGCGCGTCGCTCGTTCATACACTCACGTGTGTTGTCTTGACAATTCGATGGAGGAATTTGGCGAGTACGGTTATCAGCGTTCCAATAACCGACGCGAGCCGACTCGATTGCGCAGCAACCTCGTCTTTCTCCGAGTTCATCCTACAAAGGGTTAGAGCCGCGACGAACTCGGGGAGGAAAACGGCGGAACGAACACTCTGGCTGGGTTGACAAAAGAGAAGGAAAAGGAAAAGAAAAATCTCGGACTGTTCCCGCCAATGTCGATCGAATCTTAACCTTTGAACTCTGTTCAGACAAAGATTTAAATTCTCAAGCTGACCCTCACGGGTGCTCAGTGGCGCATTTTTAAAATTGACGTATCAATGAGTTTCAATCATCTAGTGCCATGATAAAAGTGGGATGAACAAGTTAAAATCACTTTCAAAAATGAACAGAGTTTGTTTCTTTATTTGGATCCGCGACTGCCAAACTGCAACGCCACCCACTCGTTTGACAGCTCAAAACTGCAGCACTGAGTGCTGCTATTCGGAAGGTTTAAAGTTCAATCGACTTCAGCAGAAACGCGCGTTAGTTCACTAAGTGCTACTTCGAGACAAGACGTCGGACGAGCCGCTTGATTACCCCATCAAGCTTTCGCGAGATAGTGAACGTTATAAAAATCGGAGAGGTGTATGCGTTTCCCTCCCTCGCGACACTCCTCGCGATCCTATCGATCTTGTCGCCGTCAACGTTGATCGACTCGCCCCCATGTGCTTTTCTACTCTTGTTTGATTACTTCGTTTTTCTTTTTTATTTCGTTTGCTTTTTCTCTTTCTCTATTTTTCTCTTTACAATAGCGTCACCTTTTGAAGCTGTCGAACGCGGACCGCTTTGGCGGTGCTGCAGGGTCGACCTTGTCCCAACCTTCGGTCTTCGAGGTCGTCGACGTGCGGTGCTCGCTGGTGCTCGTGTGATGCCGACTTCACAGTTAGTCACCAACGTGCCAATGCAGAGAGCCAATCGGTAGGCGAGACGATAGTCGAGCGCAGGAAGAGGGGTTGTTGTTGTTATTATTGTCGGTTAACTTTAGCGTTTATAAAGTCGTCCATGCTCTCTCTCTCTCCCTCGCACTCACTCACTCACTCACTCACTCACTCACTCACTCACTCACTCACGCTAATCCCGCTTCTGTTTCTTGGCAGCACGATTCTCGCTTCGTTTCGCGCGAGATCAGCTCCTCGGGCTGGGGTTTCAACCAGCAACGACCAGTCACTCGTCGGCCAGATCTCTTTTGAGCTCCCCGGCTTCGCTAACGACAAACAACTCCTTCCCGCCGTTCCTGCTTTTGGTCGAGGAACGTTCTCGCGCCGACGGATAAATCTACTTCGCGAAAGATCGACAATGTCGCGCCAAAGCGTTCTTCTCATCTTCGTCAGTGAAAGGATTACCGCCGACTGACGAATTTCTGTTCGGATTTCCGACGAATGACCGTTCATTCGTTCCGCCAGTCATCAATGAAACCCGATCGAGTCACCGATTATGCCTTTTATAATCATTCGTATCATTATCCTGAATTTTCAAGCGGATCTAGCGGAGAGATGCCGCTTTCCAAATTGTACACCAAGTTGCGCGTTATATCGATTATACACGTTATATCAAGCATACTTTCGATCTTGAAAATCGATTCAGTTGCACCAAGAAACAATGGCGAGCGAGCGATGCTCCAAGCGAAATACTGTAGCCCGATTCAATTCTCGAAGAGATGGGGGCAACAACAAACAATTTTCCTAGGCTAAAATGACCGACAAATTAGTAATAAAAATTAATCAACCACCATAAATAAAGTCATAAATAATTTCATCAATCAATCGAATATTATTAATCAAGCTTTGGAGTTACTGATTATGTACTCATTAATAATTAATTTCGTGTCAATCGATTATTCATTATTACACATATATTGACTTGCCGATTATTTTACTAAAAAAATTTGAATTAATTAATACCTGACACTACTCGAGTGCTCCCTTCTTTTCAAGAATTCCCTGAAAACTGTACTTTCACTTGGAACATTGGAACTTGTAGTTCGGCTTGTAAAATGCTGCGAATGTGAACTTTCGAAAGAACGATTCATCGATCATTATCGCACTCACGTTCGCAACACTTTATATACAATTTGAGGAGGGGAGAGGAGCAAAAAATATAAAATCATACAACTAAAAATACGAACCGTAGAAATTATAAGGTTTAAGTCTTACTCGGTAAAAATATTGTCGTGTATGCGTTGGGATAAATAATAATACTTGTGACGCCTGTGTCGCGAATTTCAAGTATCCTCGCGACAGCAGCAAATTCGCCTCAACGAAAACGATGTACAAAAAGCGGTAAGACAATCGACACACGTCAACACGCAGCAAATAAATCGTAAAAGCTATGTACAAATTATTCGTACAAATTAAAGAAGTAAAATGAAGCGCACTCGACAAATATATATAAACATGAGTCTCATTGTGTGGATCTCGAGAAACTCGTAAAGAGCGTCTCGCGCGGAAATCTCTCGAACGAGTACCTGAACTTATCTGGGTGACCTTTCCCCGCGGATCGCTGCGCTGATAATTACCGCCGGTAATCGACGTTAAACTTATTAGAAGGAGGCCTCGTGAGACCGATCGATCGTAGGCGCGTTTATCTGCATGCAGATAAGAATGAGGCTGCCTGAATTTTGTGACCGTACACGAAACAACGAGCCGAAGATATCGCGATAGCCGATAACCGGAAGTCTCGTCCGGGTCTTCGGGGGGAGGAGAGGTCGTCGACCTATCGCCACACGAAGGATACTAAAATAGTACGCAATTATATCGTCGCGGCCGTACTCGCCCGTGAGGACGATTTCTCGAGTCGCGTTTTATCGCCCGCGTTTACTTCAACTCGTTCGTGCGATTGCTTTTTAAATCGAAAATACTTAAAACCGGGTCAACTTGTTTGCAAACGTAGACATCGAAGAATTTTCTTTTTCTGTTTTTATAGGAGTAACGACTGTCGTTTACGGATGAGAAACAACTGGAAGGATATTACTCTCGGAGGAATCGTTGCGAACGACGTTGCGCACGACATTTATGAGGCCTCGGGTCGGCCGAATAAATTCTGCGACGGTAAAACGATTCTTCGAGCGAAATGTCACTGTATCCCATCACGCGATGTGACGTGTCTGGTAACAACCATTTTCCGCGTTTTATTTCCTTCGTACGCGCAGACACCGAACGAAGAAGCCGCGTGTCGTCGCCGAAAGAACAGACGACGTAATAGAGACGTTTCCATCACGCGACGTCCCGGTGTATCTACCGCTGGCAGATGCAATCGTGCGCGATTCGCAAGTTCTTTTCTTTCTCTGGTACGGGGAGGGCTCGTCGGGGAGCCTCGAACGAAGCTAGACTGAAGGTAGACGATTTAAATATTTCGAGGCGTCCGCGCTAACACGGGAGAAGGTAAAGCGCAGCAGAGTCGTGTGGGAATGAATGCGGCAGGGAACAATTATGCCAGACAAGAGAAAGGTCGGATCCAGCCTCGTGAAATCGAGGGAGGTCAAGCATAGCGAGCAGGATCTTGCAGAACCTGGCGTCGTCGCCGAAGTGGAAAGGCCAAACGCCAACCGCGGGTCACAGCGGCAGAGTGGCGATTTCTAATTCAATCGCCGTTGCATTACTTCGCAATCTCGCGCGTATACGTGCATGTACACACTTTCGACTTCATTGACTGCCAATCTATCGCGAGAGGTGAATCATTCGGTTCTGGAATAATTGAGAAATACGACTTCGAAGCGCGTGCGCGTTGTGAATTCTCTCCTCTGATAAAGTTTCTTTCTTTCTCTCTTACGGAATGCAGGAAGAAAACATCGATAAATTTCGGCGCAAGATTATCTTGATACAGGTGAAAATTAATCGGCGTATTTATGTAACGCGTTGACGTAAGCTAACAAACATCATCACTCTTTGACACAAACAGAATGATTAAGTAATCAGTTGTTTTCCATAACGATAGAATGCAACGTAGAGGCGGAGCGTGCGTGAGAGAGACTAGAAAGAAAAAATTTTGAGTACATTCCGTCATGTATTAACAACTCACAACGGTCGGGGGACAATGTTTGATCGAGATATTCGCGTGTACGTCGTTCGTCAGCTTTGTCGCTGAAACGACGATGAAATGACAATTTGACGAGCGCATGCAAAGTGGTAGGTATTTCTAGCAAATTAGTACGACAGACGCGAAAACCTCCGTCTAATGACGGACCTACAATCGCGACACACACTGACCAGCGGGAATGGCCTTAACACGCGATGTGACTCGGTTATTAGGATTTTCTGACTGTACATACTTGGTTTATTGATCTATTGATTTCTCAAAGAAGCAGGAACGGTGTGTTAAGTCAGCAATTTGTCGTTGCATGCTTTGCATTGACTAGACACGAATATGTATGGTGTGTTATAAAGTTCTATTTAATATTTTTTTACTAGTTTTTCTAATCGTTCCTATTATGTCTGAATATGATACGATACGATGTGATATGATATAAAATAATAGTTAATAGATAAAAACAATAGTTTAGCGGAATAATCAAAGTGATCAACACCGTATACACATGTCCAGACACAATGCAAGCAACTGGAAAGGCCACTGAGTTTTCATCTAGCTATAAAGCTTCATTAAAGCTCAGAGTATACGACTCATCCGTGTCGTGCGCAAGTCGGCCGATTAATGATATCAAATGAGATAATCGCAGCGTTACGTGCGCATTTTCTGCGGGATCGTTACGCAATACTAACGAACGACTGGGGTTAACAAATCGTTCGACGATTCTGTCTAAATGATGATCTAAATCGAAATTGTAGTGACAGAAAGACGACGAATTGTGTTCCGGAACACACACAAAAGCGCGTGTCGGAAGGTATGCAAAAGCGAATTAATCTCCTTGTAGCACGCATCACTGCTCGGCTTCGATCGCGAGAGGCCGTGACTGCCAGACAGTACGTCAGCTGTCTGCGAAAGTTCGAGCATAAAGTTCAGCATAGTTCGCTAAAGTCGCGTAATGAACTACGCTCTGCCTATAAGAGGCAATTTCCTGTTGCTGCTCAAATCAAGATGCGCTGTCGGAAGATCTATCTAACGCGTAGAAGAACGCGAAATTGAACCCGCACAGAACTATTTTCTGACGTGTCCTTGTCTGAAATGACGTGACATGAAATACAACTGAAGTCCCTCAAATTGCGAAGAAATTAGTGAAAGAGAGAGAGAGAGAGAGAGAGAGAGAGAGAGAGAGAGAAAAGTTGCTTCGTCATATCAGTCATAGTTCTCTCTCACTTCTACTAGAGTTTCTCTCTCACTCTCATTCACGTCACCTTCATACCCCGTCATCGCACACAGAGAAAAACATCATTCTACCGCTAAAAAAAGCGATTACTCAGTTTAATTTCCTTCCTAAGTAACAGTTGTCTTCAACAAGGAATATTTTCTTGATAATAGTCTGAAAATGTACTCATGACAACTTAAAAAAAACTCATTATGGTGTACGCAAAATTACATTATGTGGTGTACGCATTCTCTCTGTAAAAATACCACAAAATTTTAACGAAGGAACACAATTGGTGCGATTCTACGCAATAAGTTTAATTTCTGTTTCAATTCGACATTCTTGTTTGAAATGCTAAGCCAACTAGGATTCAGAATGTATTTGTAAAAAATGTGCCGCTTGTGATGAATTTATGGTGTGGATTTGCGAACATATAAACTTATGATATATTTAAAACAAGTTTGCTCGAATGCACGTATATTTCTGTGTGCGCGCGGGGAAAACGTTCGGGCAGGCACTTCGAGAGTCAACAGCCATACATCTTCCTCCGACAGCTTCGACGTGGCGAACAACTACGCGCTGAAGAATGTTCGCGTCGAAGGCACGCCACTCTACATGATGAACCATACACACTTATCTATTTGCGGTAACCGTCCCTGAACGCGAGCGTTGCGTCAGGAGCGCGTGATGATTCGGACCTCGTAATGGTCCATACTCACCTCCCACGTACGAACGCGGCGATCCATCGAGAATGTTCGATCGATACCGAGCACCTGCTCGGCATAACGCATATTTATAGACGTTTCCGCATCGCCCGACGACGACGTGTCCTTCGCGCGCTCCTTCGAGAGAAAATCTCGACGCGGAAACAAATTCGCCCATTGTGATCTCGTCGTCGGCCCATCGATCGAGACCGATTAGAGATCACGGCTAATCGAATCGGCAGTTAAGTCGGTCTATCGAGTTAGAGGATTAAAGAACACGTTTCCAATCAGTCATGTCGCGAACTCGGTGGAATGGGTCGCGGAAAGCGGGAGAAATAAGCAATTGGATTAGTTGCGTGACAAATATAGCTCGTAGCGATCGCGTGATTCGACTGAGCAACGATCACTGTCGCACAGTGGACTCAAATAAAACTTCATATTTCGAAAAGGAGCACAGCTTCGAAATTTGAGCCAAATTGATCTTCTTTCTAACGGAAGCTAATAAAATTTGGAACAATTTTGTCGAGTCAGATTCGTGTCCCTTGCTTGCCTTTTAAATTAGACATAAAGAAGTTAGATAAAGGAGGGAAGCGAAGGGCAAAAATCTGGCTTGACAAAATTGTTCTAAATTTCATTGGCTTTCGTTAAAAAAAAAAAGGGAAAATTGATTTCGAGGCTGTAGTCTTTTGAAACATGAAATTTCATTGTGACTCCCATTGTGTGCCGTGAACGCGCGAGTTCGCGAGCGGCACAACGTACCGGTATTTGATCACCGTTTTGTGCCTGGGCGGGTAAAGATCCTCGTCCAGGATCATCGCGGATGGACGCTTGGAGACGAGTCTCGGCTGACTGCTGAGCGAGTCGACACTGTCGGCGAGCGTGTTCGCTTCCAAACGCGAACGCAGCGGTGTGGTTGCCGCGATGTCGCAAAAATTACTGCGTAAAATCGCCCGCAGGACCCCTGCGAGTTCCTCACCTTTCCTACGGCACGATTTAGTGCTCGATCCCGACGGTAGTGGGGATCGCGATCGCGATCTCGCGCGCTTCAGTGTCAAGGTCGCGTTGACGCAATGATAACATGATACACCGTAAAACTGCATTTCTCATCTGCACGCGGAAGCGCCGAGCCGGTCTCGAAGAGCCGCGAAAGGACCGGGGAGGCAATTTGTACGCGCGATTTGCATAATTGGCACCTATGGCGGCACGGCGATGATGCAATTTTTCGAGAGAAACAAGAAGCAATATTTACTTTATTAGAGATGCTGTACCTTAAGAAAAAGTTAACGACCCGACCGAAAATTAACAAACTGATACACGACCAAACTTTCCGATCAACTTAATCGCCCTACACGGGAAAAACAACTCTGTTAGTGAAACTTGTGGAAAACGAATGAAAAGATCGGAACAGAAAAGTTCCTGTAGGAGATTTCTACTCAGTCAATTACTCTCAGTTATCTCGAACGAGTTGTGTCGCGAATTTTTGTCGATGTTTTTACAACTTTGTAACTGGAAATTTTTCAGGTCACTGATCACGAATTGGAAGTCAGAATTTTTAATTCTGGATTTAAAGATAACTTGAAAATTCTGATCTCCTTTTATTTAGGTTAATTTTATTATTTTATTATTTCTTGCGAGTTTTTCGTTCGATCCCCACTCAGTTACCCAAACTAAAGTTTGCAAAAACGATCAGATATGTCGCTTGAACGGAATGTTCGTTCATTAACGATGTTTCTCGAGATACGCGCGAATTTATTTTAATTAATTAACAAGTATTCTACGAGATGAGGGAAAGAAAGAAAGCGAAAGTTGCGTCGGCGCGATGTATCTCTCACGCGTTTTTCCATTGTGTTTTCAAACGCAGCGTTTCGCGACGCAGTGGAGTCGCGGACTTGTGCATGCAATGGCTTGTGCAGCCGCGGGAGTTGCAGTGCGCGTTGTGGTGCACTCAGCGAGACGCGTCCGACGTAATTGCGTAACAGAGGCAATTCCGCGAGCGCGACAGCGCGTTTCCCGCAGAAAGGCACTTCGAATATGCGGATTCTAAACGCGAAACGTCGTCACGCCACGAAGTTAATCGCTATTTATATCGCGCGAAATCCAATGCGCGTGTCCCCGTTCTCGATCGTCGATCCGCGAACGTCGTCCGCGGCGAACGAACGTGAGAAAGAGCGAAGTCACCGTCGCAGATGTAGCCCCAAACAGATGATTTGCCGTTCTGCACGAACGGAGACGTTGGAAATAGGACGTCGCCGCGAGTCTCGCCTTCGCAAAAAGACGGCCCGCGTGGCGAATGCGCGAAGAAGACCGGGGATCGATCGACCGGCGCGCACAGTCGCCGGTTGATTCTCCCGCGGGTATCTCTACGAAGCACTGTGGCCGCCAAGAATTAAGAGATTGATGAAGTCGCGCGGCTCCACCGCATTCCGTATGCGTATGCAAATTTCCAACGCACACACGCGCGAGATTATCCGCTTCGCGCGCCCAACACACAAACGGACGCCAAAGGGGGGCTTCTCTTGGTCTGCGAATGCAATGACGGAATCTCTATAAATAGCAGGTACGAGACGGCGAAACGCGCGAAACGACTGTGTCGATGCGAAAATCTCGATCAGTAAACAACGACGGAATCGCGCCGGCCGACTGAAAAACGGACTTCGCCTTCGCCGCGTGATTTTTGCGACGGCAGCGCCTGCAATTTTCAACGAAGCGATCTCTGCATGCAGATGCTGTATCGTTTCCACCGTATTTTGTGTGGAAACGTGTTTCCAAGTTAACGCATGCGATCGATCGGTGGAGGAGCAATCTCCCGTTTAATCGCGACTCGACCGTCGAGTCGATACTTGAGACGTAAAGAGATATCGTCAATCTCCGCTGTGCAAGAAGAACTTCTTACCACGTCATAGAGACTCCATATTTTCAATCATAATTTAAAAATAAACAGACAAATAAATATATGATACAATTCGCGGTCTTTTAATGATTCGTTAAGGATTGTTGATTCTCGAGTCAAAATTCTAACCCTCTCGATATTTCATTAGATATTGATACTCTTAAGCCTATATTAAACTCTTTTGATTCTATTTATTAACTTTGTCCAGAGATCCTATTTATTTAGAACCTACAGAATGGCATTTTGTATATTTTCTGCCGTTTATAAATGCTAAGCAGGACGTCAGATTTCCATGTGCATTACACACATATACACTGATCCTTCAAAATATATAGATATTAGAAAATTCATACTCCAAAGAGTAGGGCTAAGATTTTGACTCGGGGATCTCCGAGTCGAAGTTTTGATCCTACTTTCGGCCATAAAATAATTTCAATTTAACGTCTACTTTGATATTCTAAAATCTATAGTAACCTTTTTTGATTCTATTTAACCTACTTTGCTTTGTCCAGAGATCCTATTTAGAACCTACAGAGTACATTTTCAGCCATTTGCATACACTAAATAGAACTTCAGTTTCCATGTATATTAAATCATACACTGGTCCTTCAGAATATATAAATGTTAGAATATATAAATGTTAGAAAAGATCAGGGGTCGAAAGTGAGAGGTTAAAATTTCGATTCGGATCTGACCAAATAAATTCAATACTGAGCGTGTCGTCTCCGCGAATAAATTAAATGTATAGTTCTCAAATGTGTCGAGAATAAATTGCAAATAAAATCTGTTGCGCTGCGATCGACTGAACTGAAGTGAAAATCTCGATAAAGGGTACACTAGAATACAAGATGCGCGCTCTCTAGTTCTCTCTGATCTTCTCTCACGTTGTGTGTTTCTCAAATAGAAAAAGTCAATATTTTCAATGTCAGTTGTGTCCCACCGTCTCGTTTGTGTTTTTCGACCTACGGCAAGTCTCGTCAATCTCTCTCTTTCTCTCTCTCCAATGTCGCGACGTACACTACGCGAAAGATGAAACACACATGCTGTTTATCATTTGCGAAGAAGTGAAACGGACGTCTCAATTCGTATATATGCCGACACCGGCATTGTAAACATACCGTAACATCAACGAGTATCAAATGTAAATAAACGCTAGGCATCCAAACGCGAATACTGAATACAACGATACAACAATTTAGCTGTAAAATCTTATAAATTGAGAACAGGACGCGTACCGAAATTTATCCTGAAGAGACGCGCATGAAGTACGCGAAAGAGAAAGAGAGGGAAAGAAAAGTGAGAGAGAGAGAGAGAGAGAGAGAGAGAGAAAGAAAGAAACGTAAGAGAGACAGAGAGAACAGTACCGGCGTCGCATCTGGGAATCGGGCATTTCGCGAGAGAACTCGTCGCTCTCATGTACCTGGTGGTGCTCTTGAAGAAATTGTTGCTCTCGCGATTCATCAGCTCGCTGCGGAACCGCGACATCTCGTCCTCCATCTTTCTCATCTCAGCGTCGAAGCGCTCGCGTATGTTGGAGAACTCGGTGTCGATCACGCTGAAGTCACCGAGTTTGATCGGAATGTTACGCTTGATACTACTGTCGGCCATGTTTCCTCCCGCGTGTGTGCACTCGTGTGTGTGTATGTACGAGTCTCTCGTCTTTTCTTCCTCCTGTCACTCAACCACTCAACGAGGTACTCGCGTCTTCGTCGTACACGACTCGCTCGCGAATAATAACTCCGGTATTGAACGCTGCGCACACGTGCTTCGCTCTGAGTCCCGCCTAAGGAATGAGCGCGGCTTGCCGGCTGCCCTTTAAATAGCTGGCGACGCCGGCGGTGTCGCTCGTGGGAGTTCGGCCGCGTTCGGCGAACTTCGTGGGCTGTGTGTGTGCACGCGGTCGTCGCGGAACGGACATTCGTTCGACACACGTTCCCCGGATGAACGACGACGACGACGACGACGACCCGAGGTCTAATTAGACGCGCCGATCGCGCCGAAAGCGGGAATGTCGTTAGCGGGAAATTAATATGCGGACAAAATGAGGAAGTCGCGATATAGCGCGTGGGAGAAAAGAGGAGAGAGGAGCGCGCCCATTTCGCCACATTTAAGGACGCCATTATTTCGATGAAAATTTACTCTAATTTCATTTCCCAGATTAGAAGAAAAAGAAATTCAAATCCTAGAGCCCTAGAAAATGTTCGAGTTACACGTATTTTAACGACGAATAGTCGGGCTGTGAAAGAAACTTAATCGAGTATTTCGCGTAAGTCGGGAATTGTTCGTTTTATTCGGGGAACAGATCGAACCGTTTCTTCCATTATTATGGCAATTTTTCTCAGGATCGATGAGCCGACCTTCTAGAATGTTTCGCTCGCGATCTATTTCCGTACAAGTAACGCATCGCGCGAAAATGGGATCTGTCTTTTAGAATTTGTTCATATAAAGATTGCGCGTGGGCGAAACGCGCCGTCGAAACGTCGTACAAAACGAATCATCGTTGGCCGCGTGCGCAAGAGAGAGAGAGAGAAAGAGAGCATGACTAATAAACTCGCGCGATCGTTTCCTTATGTACGACCCCCGCGAAGGAACAATCTCGTAAATTCCTACGTCGCGCGCAATCCGCGACCATAATTATTCGCGTTCGTGAATTTTAAAGGAAAGACGAAAATAGCGCGTCCGACGGCACGCGGAAAAAATTTAGTTGTCGGCGTAAAGTTCACAAGTCGGTTGTCGTATTTCAGGATTAAGAGAGAAGCTTATTTTATAGAGAGTATTTTTCCTGCCTATATATAATTCCTTCGCGAAGGAAACTCGTATTATATTGTTAAAACCGGATTACAACGCTACGTTATGCGTCGCGTGGGAGAACGACCGCTCAGTATCAGAAAACATAAGTCGCCAATAAAAGGGTTTGAGATGACGTAAGACCTTTAACGAGTTACAATGACGGATGATGCGATTTTTACGGTACTGATTGATTAATTAGGCTGTACGCCGAATTAAAAGGTCTCGTGGATGTCAATAACGAAAGACCGCGCGCGTGAGAGAGAAAGAGAGAAAAAGAGAAATATAAATAGCACAGTCTAATGAAATGAAAGGACAATAAAATTATTATAGAACTGTTCCTTGATTACAAGATTCTACAGTCATTTTTACAAAGAAACTCTCCTTCCGTGCAACTTTAATTACATAATTGTTTCTCAATTTTTATATCGGACAAATGATCAATCATGCCAGAGCTAGGATCACGAGCCAATTATATCTCGTAAACATATCGTCAACGGACGTTCGAGAACGTACTGTTGTTCCTCTGTTGCGTCCGCGAAAAATTGGCAATAGTCTCCGGACGCGTCAGCGAGTCGAGTACGTTAAAAGAATGTTTATGTCGTCACGACCGAGAGGGAGAGACAGGCAGACGGAGAGAGAGAGAGAGAGAGAGAGAGAGAGAGAGAGAGAGAGAGAGAGAGAATTAAGGCGCTGTATATCGTCGTGTATGACATTTTTCCCAATCTTAGTACTCATCAACTTTGCCAATTAATTTCTCACTTCGCGGGGCAGAGCGACGTTTATTTCTGCCAAATTCTTATTCTACGTGTAAAACGTGTCAATTGAGTATATTTTCATCGATATTCGAGGTGACGTGAATAAACTGAATAATTACCCAATATTTAATTAAATATTCGCTCCAAGCGCTGGCTCTTATTGACTCAATAATATGGTTTATTTAAGTTGTATACTTTGTGCGCAAGAGTCTTTGTAGGTAGAAAGAATTATGGTTGTTTTAGATATATCAAATGTTGGGTATACAGAATACAATGAATGAAAAACTTAGTCAGACAAAGGACTCCAATCATCAAGGTAATACTTATAGATTTACTACAAAATTTATAATAATGATAAATTGCTAAATAAAAGTATTTTTAATGATCATATTTTATCTATTTTTAGATGGCATTCCTACTACAGCTAGAGCAATTAAAATAATGAATATACAGAGTCCATATGTAATGAGAGCTTATAATATTGCAAAGCGGGAAGAGGAA